TTTGCACTTCAAACTTTAAAATTGAAAATCAAGCAATAACACTAATTTTGGTTTCTTCACCCGCTGACAAGTTGGATTTAAAGGTCATTTACACTTCCCAATTCTAATCTAATTATCTAAATGAGAAGGAATTGCCCGTGAACAATCGTACAACCACCCAGACATGTTAGGAGGTCGACCACCTTTGTATACAAACACCTTTGTTCGAACAACCCGAGCAGCTTCGGAATTGAGCCAGTACTAGACAAAAAGGAAGATCCTTCGCACCTTGTATTAAAAAGGTGAGGAGGTTGAGGAGTTTGTTTTACCTTTGCATCCACAAAAAATGAAGACCAGTCACGGGGATACTGTACAGTGGCTCTCTGCACGTCCACAGAGATCAAACAATATTAGTAAAAAAACTCAAAAGAAAAGGTAAAAATAAAATAAAAATAAAATTCGACAGGAAAAATCCAATGAGAATAAAATTTGAAAAAAATAATTCTAAAAAAATAAATTATAATTAAAAGAATTGGGACCACACTTTACAGGGAGTGAAATTGAAAATATTTTGTAATATGATATATTATTTATAAATTAAAAAATTATAAGAGAGTGAAATTAAAAAATATTTGTAATATAATATATTATTTATAGATTAAAAAATAATAGGGATTAAATAAGAAAAAATATAAAGACCTAATATATAGAGTGAAATCTTTAATCTGGTTGAACCAATAAATCTAATTTTCAGTTAATTTAATTTTGAATGATGATATCAATAAAAAAAATATTAATAAAAAATAATAAAAATGATATAAAAATCCTAGGATAATGCAATTTAATAAAAAAATAAAAAATAATCTCACATGAGATAAATAAAAATTAAAATAATAAAGAATAGATTTTAAAGATTAAAAACAATCATAGGGAATGAAATTGAAAAACATATGTAAAAAATAAGCAAAGCTAGACAAACATATTAAATCTAGTCAAATCTGAAAAACTCACAACTTATAAAACCTGAATTTAGGGATCCAATCAAGAAGTTTAACATGAGCCAATTTAAAAATATAAATTTTAAAAACTTGTCAATACAAAAAAAAAATTGACAATTAAAGGAAGAAGAAATGAATTTGATAGAAAAAAAAAGAAGAAAAATGAGATCATAAACAAATTTAATTTAAAAAATGATTCAAAGTAAAAACTTGTTGGGGAAAAAAAAGCAATCAAAACAATAAAGACTGAATTTGAAAAATAAAAAACAAAGTAAGAGGGGTGAAATTGAAAAGGCATGCCAATTTGATAGATTATTCAATATAAAAAAACAAAATAAAAGGAAAATTCACCAAATCTAAAGAGTCAGCAAATTAAATGGTTGTTCTTGATTTTTTAAAGGGCTAGCATGGAAATCTAGGCTAAGAAAGAAAGAGGAAAATAAAAAAAAATAAATAATTGTTGGTGCCAAATCACTTTAGATGGTGGCACACACACCATCTTATTAGGTCAAGAATGTTAAGACCTATTAAATATCATCCTAGAATGCAGCAAGAGTTATAGACCCATCAAGAAAAAAGATAGCACGAGGAACAAAAAAAAATCTAAAAGAAAAGGCTTAAAAAAAGTTTGATAAACAAAATAATAATTAAAAAAAACAACATAGTTAATATTTCAATCAATTTAATGCAAAAAAAAAATGTCACAAGTTAGCCTAATCAAGCATGACAACTATGAAAGTCAAGTCACGAAAGCAAGATAAGAAAAAAAAAGAGTTAAAGTTGAATCTCAAACAAATCTAGTGTCAGGCAATAAAATTAAAATGAACATTAATTTTTTTTAAAAGAAAAAAAACTTAATAAACCAAACTCTGCAATCTAAATTATATAAATGAGATAACTGAATTAAATAAAGAATGGAAAACATCACACATCTTGATTTTTTTTTAAAAAAAAAAACCATAATGATAAAGGATTGAATGTAAAAAAATATTAAATTTTGAAAAAAAGTGACCCTAAACAAAATTCAAGCTAGCCTGAATCAAATTATCAAGCTTATATTCCAAATGGTGAGATTATAATAGACAAGCAGAAAGGAAATCATTGAAAAATCACAATGTCTGGCATAGAAAAACCAAAATATTCAGAGGATGGAATAAAAAAAACAATGACCAACCAATACAATATTAGATGATAAAATTAAAAAATAAGAAATCAACTAAAATATTTATCATGGTAAACCTAATAAAAAATAAGAATTAAAAAGACTGGAGACAATTTAGATCACTTTAAAGCTGACAAGAAATTTATATAAAAAACAAACAAGAAAAACACAACATGAACGTAAATTATATAAATGTCAAGTGATGGGATTAAAAAAATATCATTTAAAAAAAATAAACCAAGTAAATTAGACAAACCTTTTAAATATGGTCAAAGATCTTAATCTTGCAACTTGTTAAATCATATTTTCGGACTTAATCAACAAACTCAATTCTCAACTAATTCAATATTTTTTAGCTAAGGTAAACTCAAGAAAATTCATGTCAAATATCACAAAATAAAAGTTAAAAAAGTAACAAAACTCGATCTCTAATTCAATAAATATTGAATTATAGAATTTAAAAAACATGATCTTTAAATAAAAAAATAGAACAAGCAAACTCAAACAAACATTCAAAATTTTAGTTAATTTTCAAAGCTTACAACTTGTAAAATTCCAATTTTAGGCTCAATCAAGGAGCTTATGGAAGAAAAAGTAATGAAAATTAAATTTGACAAAAAAAATGGTAAAAACATAAAATATTTTTATTTATAAAAATATAATAATTAGAAATGGATTGAACTCAAAGATTAAAAAATTTAAGGGGATCGAATAGAAAAATAGCTATAATCTTGTAAATTGTTTTAAAAAAATATTCTAAAAAATTAAAGGATGGAATAAATAAATAATATCAATTTAAAGAACTAATAAAAAAACAACAATAAATAATGATAAATAAAAAAACAAGGCAACGATAGCCATTTTCAAGATCAATAGAAACTTCTAAAAATAACTAAAAATAAAAATATAATAAAAATTAATGATAAATCTAGAAAAAAATAAATTTAACAATTGAAAAAAAAACCCTCCATAATCTATATAAACTTGATTGAATATCTAAAAACTTGTAATTTGTGAAATATTTAACTTGAATTTAATTAAAAAGCTGCATTCTAATTGTTTTAAAAATATTAATTTAAAAAATCTGTATGAGTTTATTAAATAAAATTTATAAAAATAAGGATTAAATTTGATAAGAAAAAACTTTAAAAAATAATAAAATAAATAATTTAATAACTGACCTCAAACAAAATAAACAATAATCAATAATGAATATAAATTTTGTAAGGTTAAGAAATAAAATTGATGAAATTATTTAAAAAAAATTAAAATTGAAATGGCCGATGACTAAATGTAAATGCAAAGGAAAGAAAATTGAAATGGTTGGTTTAAAATCTCGAAGTGCTGGCGCACTATACGAGGAGGATAGAACAAATAAGAAAAAAAGACAGGAAGTGACTATTAACACCAGATCAGAAGCGAGTTCGGCTCCCGCATCACCCCATCATGTGAAGGGTGCTTAGACATTTCAAATGTCGAAGCAAACAACCCCTCGCAAGTCGATCAAAAGGCACGTGGCTGCTTCCCTTTTAACATGTGTCTGGCAATTATTAAAATATAAAAATACCTTTAAATTATGTTAAAATTAACAAAAAAAAAATCATGATAAAAAAAACCGTGTATGTTAATTTGTTAACTTTGCACCAAGAGACAACTAAGCAGTTTAATTTTAACCAAACAAATTTAAAAAACATAAATCCCCTTTGTTTAAGGCACATTTTTTGTTCCAGAGAATTTAAGTAACATAACTGTTTTTTAAAAAAAAATTAAAAAGACTAATCTACTGAGAGGCAAAGTCATTGTAACACTGTTCTGATTAGGGGTAAGAAAAAAATAAAAAAATTGATTAAATAAAAAAATTAAAATGTTGAAAAAAATTAAATAGAATATTTAAAAAACCATTCGTTCAGTTCCATAAATCTAAAACTGGAAAACTAAATTGAAAAAATTAAGTCTAATAAAAAAATAAAACAAAACCTAAATAAAATCCATTAAAAATTACAAAAAAACCCAATAAATAATATAAGTTTTGATTTTCAATATAAAATAACAAAATCAAAATCAGTTGAGTTTCAGTTTTTATTTTAAAATAACTAAATATAACTTAAACTTGTTAATTCCAACAGTTTCAATTATTTCTGTTTAAATTAATTTAATTATTTTTATAAATAAAAACTAAACCAAATAAAAAACAATCACCTGTAATTCTAAAGAATAGTATCACTAGTACAGGGCACTAGTATCACTAGTCCAGGGCACAATAACTTCTTCTCTGGTTTTGGTTAATAATTAATAATTATTTAATACATATATGAATTAAAATTTATTTTTAATATATAAGAATTTCAAAACAATTTGGGGAATTCCGAGATATTTTTTCCTCCAAAAAAATTCCTTTAAAATTATTTTCACAAAATTACTCGAATTTTTTATTTTTTGAAAATATTTAAAAACTCTGAAAATTCGGATAATGTTTTTTTAAATAGTAATCACCCCTGCTTTTTGTACAAAACAAGAACCAAAACCACGTCGTATTCTGTTTTGGTATACAATCGTCACTCCTATACACGGGAAGGAGAATAGATCAGTAGATCACCACAGGCACTTCAGCAGTCACGGTCATACCTGGGAGTATAATATCAGTTTTTTTTAAGTATTCTTTTATTTAAAAATATATAAAAATAATATATATTTTTGATTCTTAAAAAATTGTTTTTAATATTAATATATCAAAACAATTAAATAATAAAAAAATTCATTTAAAATAAAAAATAAAAAAATTCATTTTTTAAAATAAAAAACAAACTAACAAAATACTAATTTTATTTAAATCATTGGTGGGAAACTAAAAATTAAAAAAAGAAGAAGAAGCAATGAATCAAATTATTAATGAATAATCCAGGTCTTTAATTATTATTTTCTCGTTTCAATTCATTAATGACTCAACCTTGTCTCCAGTCAGTTAAAAGTAACGGAAACGACCTAACCTCCGATTCTCTCATACGGAACCGTCACTATGGCGGACAAACAGCTGATCGTGGCCGTTGAAGGCACTGCCGCCATGGGCCCTTTCTGGTCGATCATCGTTTCCGATTACCTTGAAAAGATTATCAGGTATGTAGGCACCTTGATTGAAAACAATAGTTTGAAATTGTGAACTAGGGTTTTCTTTTTGGTTTTTTTAATCAATGGATTCATCAATCTGTGCAGGTGTTATTGTGGTAATGAAACGTCAGGCCAGGTAAGTAAAAATCTTATATCGTCAAATTTTAACTGCATTAATTTGGATAGCGATAAATGTTTGCCATATAATTAAATTGACTGTAAAAACTGGATTATAGTTAGATTATTGAAAGAATATTACGAGGTTTTTTTAACTGATTCAATTCTGAAAGATAGAAAAGGGGTTTTTCTGGTTTTAGATCTAGTTATCTTGCTCCGCTTACTTTGTCTTGAATGCATTTTAGAAGGTTACTTTTCGTTTGAAGGCATGAGCAATGAGAATACTTTCTTTGAACTTGTGTTTCTTGTTGGTACTTGTTTGATTATTTTTTCTTGTAAATTTCATATTTTATTGACACTTATTCTGTGATTTGTTTTGTTCAAATATAGAAGCCCCCTACTTCCAGTGCTGAGCTCGCTCTTGTCACGTTTAATTCTCATGGATCATATTCTGGTATGTGTTTAGCTTGATTAATTCATATTTTGTGGCATTTTTTCATGATTTGTGTTATTACATGTTAATGTTGCCATGTTGGACTACTTTTTTGAGGGACGAGACGTGATTTTCATGTTTTTTGGTTGTTGGCATCTTCTTCCGATCTTTGATGAGGATTTTTCGGCTAGCTGAAGGTCACATGAGGGTTTGTTGATTTGAATTTGAAGTAATTAGAAATCTGCAAACTGATTTCATTCTGTGAGTTGGAGTTACAGTTGAAACTTGAAAGTCAACTTTCTGAAGAGATTCATATGCATGTACCTGTTGTTTGTATACCAAACATCCTTCAAGTTCTCACTCTGCACTTAATTTTACTTGTTGCCTTAATTTAATACACACACATGTATATTTTAATTTACGCCATATCTAAAAGTCATAAAAACTGTTGGAGATGTGTTTAATTTGGTAAATTTAGCTAGCCAGTGAGATTCTTGTATTACTGTTATCTATTGCAAAATATTCAAAGTTTGAATTGTATTAATATCACTATATGCTTGACAGGGAATGTCTCTTGTCTGTAATATGGCTGCATGAATTCTGAAACATGATTTTCTTCTGCTATTCTACTATAATTGGCAAACTAACAGAGTATCCATTTCATTTGTACCCTTCTTGTGAAGCTTGCCTGGTACAACGTAGTGGCTGGACAAGAGATGTTGACATCTTCTTACACTGGCTATCAGCCATTCCTTTTGCTGGTGGCGGTTTCAATGATGCTGCAATTGCAGAAGGGCTTTCTGAAGCTCTAATGGTATGCTGTTCTTGTATTTACTATTTTTTTCAGGTTATTGAGTTTAACATTTTTCATTTTCTAGTTAATGGTTAGTAGTATTTCATGGTCTTCCCTGAACAGTAGCTTATTTTTATAACAATTCTGCTTTTCTTTTCCTTCCCTCCACAAGGGAAAACGTGGAAGAAGCTTAAGGTCCCTTTCATTAGAAACTTGAGTTATTTCCTATTTTACCTAATAATGAATAAACATGTAAGCCATGATGTGGGGACATTGACATGGATGTGAAGTGTCATGCATGACCAACAATCTAACAGGCATATATATGGATTAGGTTTGCTGAGAATGGCTTACATGGGTTTGCTATATCTAGAATTTTTTCAGTTTCTTTCTTGAAAAAGAAAATATCATCTGTTAATTAACTGCTGCAATGTATTATTGAACATGGATCCTAGAGCAGTTTCTTTAGATGACATCTAATGGGATTGAAATTGGAATGCTTGTTTTGATTATTATTTCCTTTTGAGGGGGATATCCTTCTGTCCCTCTTGAATTATTCTTTCTTTTCCTTCTAATAGAATTTCATTATTGATTTCCATTTTTTCATAATTTGTCAAGTCGTTGCTTTTTTATATTGTGGGGTCCAGCTACAGGAACTCTTAGAGTAGTCTCTTTATAACTGTTGATGGAATTGGAATGCTCTTTTCTTGATTTTCATTTTGTATTTTGAGGATGTTGTCTTATTTTACTTGTACTATTCATTCTTATGCTGCCATTTTTTTTTTAAAAAAAGATTTACTTTTATGGTTTACATGATCTCAATCAGTTTTCCTTTTCGACTTCTTTTGGCTATTACATCTTCAAGTTGAACTATAATCTCCTTTAATATGGTGCTCTTTTGCTTGAAGAAATCCCACTGTTTTTTTTTTTTTTTTTTCCTTTGAACTAACATCCCACACCTATAGACACTGGCCATGAAATTTAAAATCAAACGATTGCCTTGCAATCAGATAGCATGAAATAACGGTGGCTATTGTAAAAAGAGGAAACAAAAGGGTGATTAGTGCATATACAACCAGCGTCAATGGCAGTGAATATGATTTATACTCTCTTCAATGGAATGTTTTTATAAAAGATCCAAGAGGACCACTAGGCTCTGCTCTAGATCATCTCATAAGTACCCTTCCTTGATTCAAATGTTTAAAGTAGTGCAACAGTCATACTTTGTCCCTTTTGCTTTAGAGTATTGGTTTTAAACCCAAATTTGTGGCTTTGCATGATTTTTTATTGCGTTGGGCCAATGGCTAATCTATGAAATGGGGCAGACCTGACCCAAGTCCTGCTCCTGTCTGGGCTTAAATGCAGGTCTTGAGCCCCTTGTAATGTGCAAGGAGGTTGGTAACTGTGCCCATCAATGACTCGTAAACTTAGCTACCAAGTAACTATATGCATGTCTTGTTGCTTGGTGAAGAATATTATATTGCCGAAATGACCATTTGCCAGATTCTTAAGCAAAGTAGGATATGCTTGACCATCTATTGTTACCCTTGCTTGTTTCCAGCCTGTTGCATTTGATGACATACTTGGATACATATTGTATAGTTGTTGCAACTTGCAAGAGTTCTGTTTCTTATTGCTGTCAATCCTCAACTGCAACATTGCATAGGTTGGTTTGCAAGGAGTCAGTGACAAGTTTAGATTTGAGACTTGTTTATTTTGTTATTCTCACCAAGGAAAAACGTTTCTTGAAATTGTTCCTTGGGCATGTGCCTTTTTGTGTTATTCAGATGTTCCCTATTGCTCCAAATGGAAACCAAACTCAACCAAATATAGATGGGCAAAGAAATTGTATTCTTATTGCTGCAAGTAACCCTCACCCATTGCCCACTCCAGTCTATCGTCCACAAATACAAAATTTGGAGCAGACTGAAAACATCGATGCACAGAATGAAAGTCGTCTATCTGATGCAGAGACAGTTGCTAAATCATTTCCTCAGGTACATTGATGTTGTTTCTTACCTAATCTACTATTGTTCTCTTGTTTATGAGCGTTACTGGCCATGTGAAAACTGACTCCTAGTTTCATTGCAGTGCTCGGTTTCTCTTTCAGTCATCTGTCCAAAACAGCTTCCAAAACTTAAATCAATCTACAATGCAGTAAGGATGAGACTTTTAGTTGGTTTCCTTTTCTTTTCTTGTGTTGATGCTTGCAAAAGCATTTGTATATGGCACTGTGCTTCTTGCATATGGGGAAAAAAAAATCATTTGGGGGTGTGGGTGGGTGAGAATGTTTGAAATACCAGCGCGCAGCATATTTTGCTCTTCTGAAATTGGTGGAAATCATGAATATATGTCTGGGGTAGGCTACTTAATGCACCACTTTACAATGTAGGGGAAGCGCAACAGCCGGGCAGCAGATCCACCTGTTGACAACATAAAAAATCCTCATTTTCTTGTGCTGATCTCAGAGAACTTTATGGAGGCTCGTGCTGCATTAAGTCGTCCTGGAGCTACAAGTTTGCCTTCTAATCAAACACCTGCTAAAGTGGATATTGCTTCAGTCACTTCAGTAACTGGGCCACTTCCAGCTTCAATTCCTTCAGGTTGTTTAAGCTATCTAATCTACATTATTGTTGAGTGTGATTGGATATTTTGGCATGGCTTGTTAAGTTCTTTTGCTCGCTGGCTCTCTCTTCTGAAGAAAATTAAATAACATGATTTTTGCACGAGAGAGAGACATAATAACCAGATGAATCAACATTTTCTACAGAGTGTATTTTAACCCTCTGTAAAATTGGTTGTCATGGAGGCAGCATGTTACTGTCATACGCAGTTGTAGAAGCTCTTAGCTTGTTATCCATCATAATTTTCATCTGCAAAAATCTACAGATACATTGATGTGATGTGAGGCTTCAAGCACACCTCCTCTCACAGGTCTAAGGATTTCAGCAAGATTCAAGCATCTGTATCTGTTGTTTCCTTTAAAGTTTGTTGTGGAAGATGATAACTTAGTGCTAATGTGTTGACTTTTATTTCACTTGAAATTAAAGATAAACCATAAAAAAAATCGGTCAGGTTTCCATGAGGCATTTAGGTATTGACCTCTAGTTTTAGGCTTAGTTTACTTCCAATATTAAATTCATCTTTTTGATGTTCTGTTTGGTGGAAGACTTACTTTCTTTCAAAACTTCAGTGAATGGATCTATCACAAATCGGCCGCCAATTTCAGTTGGAAATCTTCCAACTGCAACTGTGAAAGTCGTAAGTCTAGCGAATCCCTTAGTTCTGTTCTTGTTCTCATATTTATAGGAAATAAAGTTGTTTCTATGATAGCACTGCTTCTGTGCATTATGGACATGGTTAAGAGCTTTTGTGATTTTATATTCGCAGGAACCAAGTACTATAACTTCTATGGCAAATGGATCTGCTTTTCCTCATATTCCTTCTGTTCCACGCCCTTCATCTCAAGTAGTTCCAAGCATGCAGACTTCATCACCATCCACGACTACTCAAGATATGGCAACAAACGGTGAAAATGCACAGGACTTGAAACCTAATGTCAGTGTGACGACACAGTCTGCACGTTCTGCGCCTCCTGCTGCAGCTAATGTGAACATTCTGAACAATCTTTCTCAAGCAAGGCAAGTGATGAACTCTGCAGCCCTAAGTGGAGGAACTTCTATTGGTCTCCCATCAATAAATCAAACTTCTGTGGCTATGCATATGTCAAGTATGATTTCAAGTGGAATGGCGTCTTCTGTGCCTGCTGCTCAAACTGTGTTTTCATCTGGGCAACCAGGTGTTTCTTCAATAACAGGGTCAGGGAATCTTACTGGGACAACACAAATCACACCAAACTCTGGTCTGGGCTCATTCACTTCCGCAACTTCTAACATGCCTGGAAACTCAAACCTTGGGGGGATTTCACAACCAATGGGTAATCTTCACGCGGGTGTTAGCATCAGCCAATCAGCAATGAGTGGTCTGGGTGCAAACCCAAACACAATAAGCGGTTCAGGAGCACAAATGGTACAAAGTGGAATGGGTGCAAACCCCAACACAATGAGTGGTCTGGGTGCTTCAGGTGTCTCTTCTGGTTCAAACACAATGATTCCTACTCCAGGAATGTCTCCACAAGTACAATCTGGGATGCAGCCTCTTGGTGCAAACAATAACTCAGCAGCTAATTTGCCATTGTCACAACAGACAGCAGGGGGGTTGCAACCAACTCAAACGAAATATCTCAAAGTTTGGGAGGTAAGTCTGATTGCTTTTTTGGGTTAACTAAGTGTGTGTGCATGTTCAAGATTATTGTCGATTTGCTAGCCAGTAATGGAAATTTTCACTTTCATTTTCAAGTAAAGAACAGATTTTTATTTCCTTTTGTCATGAAGTTGTTTGTACTAAACATATGGACATATGTCATGATCCTTGAATCAAGTGGTCATGGGTGGGGTTGGGATGGAACCTATGCTCAGAACTCACTAATCTGATAACAACTTATGTCATCCTTTGTATCTTTTTTTTTTTTCCTGGTACGAGTGAAAAATCTTTAGAGACCTAACTCCTGTTTGCTCTGTGCGAAATAAAAATGAAACTATGTCATCCTTTTAGGATATGGAGAACTCTTAAAACTCTTCATTTCCCTTTTCGCTGACTCATTGATTTTGAAAAGTCAAATCGCCCTAACCTTAATACCCCAAAGCCAGTTGAAAAATAGTGTCGATGCCATCGATGGGGATGGATAACCTCTGTCATCAGTTGAGAAGTCTTGCATGTTCTTTCTTGCAGAACACCTCCTCAAATTAAAATCTATTGATAGTTTCTAATGAATCATAACTACCCGAGTCTCATCTTGTTAGTCTTGATAATAGTTTGCTAACACCCCTGAGTAGTAATGAGATAAAGGTCAAATAATCCAAAATGAAGCGGGAACATTCATTTCTGTATGGAATAGTAAAAAATAAATAACAAAAATCTCCTTTGGATGATTAAAGTAATCAATTGATTTTGCCTAGTTCCTTTTTATTTATTTATTATTTTTATCATTAATTATTTGTATAACTCCCTTGAAAAGCTTTCTTCAATATCAATGTAGATTTCTGGAACTGTTGAACATGTGTCTTTATGAACTCACTAACTTATTTTGAACATTTGAACTGCACACAGGGAAGCTTGTCCGGGCAACGGCAAGGGCAGCCTGTCTTTATCACTAGACTAGAAGTATGTTTGAAATGGCTCATAAATAACCACTCAATGCAAACTCCTGTTTCAGTTTTCTTTTGATACTAATTAATCTTATAGTACATTTGACCTGTTTTAGTTTTCACACATGGAACTTATACCTTGTATTTTGATACAGGGTTATAGAAGTGCTTCGGCCTCGGAGACGTAAGTTCAGGCATAATAACATAGTTTGTGCTGAAAACCAATCTACACTATCTGTTTCCTGAAGTCTTTTACATCATAAATTTACATTTTCTGGGAACAAATTTTTAGATTATCTTTGGTTGTCCCAAAAGATGTGTTTATATTATATTTGTTGGCTCTATACAAGTCAAGGATTAACTGTTTGATAGGAGATTATGGGGACAACCATACATTTCTTAGATAAAAGAAAATTGTGTTAACTGACTCAAAAGAATTACAAAAACATGGTGAGACTATACTTCAATACAGGCTTACATTTGAGAAAATCATAATATGGTCATCAGATGATTAGTTTGGAACAGTGAGCTTTACTTTGAGGTAGATGTCCTTCACACCCATTCCTAGTAGCTGTACGTCCTAGCATACTGGAAGGTTTCTAATACTTTAGGGTTTTCAGCACCCACACCCTCAAGTGTCAGGCACTGTTTTGCCTAGGGCTGAATTTAAAAATGAAGGGTAGGCTGGTTGACTTAGGTTCCATGATTCCATCAAGCCCCACAATCATTGGAATGGGATTATTCTGCATCTGGCAAATGTTTGGCAAAGGGCTGGATTTAATCATTTTGTTTCTCAAAGGACATTATTCTATTTTGTTACCTCGTAGAGCTTTGTATTTTGTCCATCTTATCATCCAACCATGATTAGAAAACAGTAATGGCAATGGGACAGGTTTAGTTTTGAGAATTACCTAAATCTCAGCTCCATTGATCAGGGTATGGATTGCTCAAGGGTTGGGAATGAGGCTTTGATATGAAAATCAAAACTCTATTCCAAGTAACATTTATAGTTGGATAAACTGTATGAAAAATGACCTTTTTATTTATTTGCAAATACCCCCTATAGCAGACAAAATATTTGAGATTTCATTTGATTGTATAAGATGACTCCACCTTTAGAACTTTTGAGCTGGACTTTTTTTGCGTGCTCTTCTCATCTTTCTCTCTCTTTGTTTGATATTTTTAGTTTCCCTTGTTAGCACACATATTTTTCAAGATGAATACAACTGGTTCAGTTTTTCGTGTGATTCTCAGGCTTGCAGCAAACTGGCCGCCAACAATGCAAATAGTTCGGCTTATATCTCAGGATCACATGAATAACAAGTAATTGCTGCATATTTGAGATTTTCAGCATCTCTGTTTTGCATTTATTTGTTCACTCGCATATCATCCTGAATTTGTTATATTTATGTGTTTTTTGTTGTTGCTTTATTTGATAAAGGCAATATGTTGGAAAGGCTGATTTTCTAGTATTTCGGGCTGTGAATCAACATGGATTTCTTGGACAACTCCAAGAGAAGAAGCTTGTAAGTTTTCTGGATGCTTACAAAAAAAGTAGCTTAAGGCTTTCCAATTTAATATTTTCCTGAAACGTCACTGTCCATTCTCATTCCAGTCATCAGTTATCCCTACTGCATCCTGTGTTAACTTCAGTGATATGATGTTTTTGTATGGATCTTGATGCTTGTAATTCACTACATATTACTGTCCTGGTTGAAACTTGTTTGATTTAAAGTGAATTGCATCTGAAGATAAAAATATGATGGAGACACTCTGTATATTATTTTATGTCTAAGAAGAAACTTAAGGGAGCAGAATTGCAGAATCAGAAATTGCCTTGTGAAGCAGAGTTTCCAAATTAGTTCATGAGAAACAAGTAGCACATCAATGCCATACTTCATGTGATGTTGATAACAACCTTCCCTCATTCCTCTAACCTTGCCTGTTTCTCCCCTTTCACTTTGTTCTTTTAAAGTTGTCGGCTTAGGCACTCTGATTTTGTTAAGTCATATCAGGGGTATGATAGTGTTTACGCAGAGGCTATCAAGTCAAGCTTAGAAAGTTCACATGATTGAAGTGTTCTCAACCTGATCTCTTCACTGAGTGAGATTTAACACTCACTACTTTGAGGGTCAATCATGAGTAAATGCCCATTGGTGAAAGCTGACTGTAGAACAAATTGAATTGCAGGGGTGTATGGACCTTTTCCCTCATCACACATGGTTGAAAGTACTTTAATCCTGCCAGTGTGGTTGTTTGATAGGCATGGGTTTTTGCAGTTTATTAATGTTCAAATAATTTAAACTTTTTATCTTAGTCTGAAGTATGAAATAATCAAAACCCTTCAATGAAGTTTGGTAAACTCTTCTAAAACTTTCATGTAAATGAATCTAAGAGGATGATGACTCTAATTCTTAAAAAAAAAAAGAAGGAAAGAAAGAATGAGAAATGAAAAAGGCCCTCAGGCAGTTATTGCTCAAGTCCTAGCCGTACAAATTCTCTTATTACTATATTACTTTAGATTTAATTAGCACAGGATTATGTTACTCGTGGAAAATATGTCTATTTGATAGGCTTTTCTGATGTTGAATTTGTTGTTATTCATTTTCCTAGTGTGCAGTAATCCAGTTACCATCTCAGACATTGCTACTCTCTGTTTCTGACAAAGCCTGCCGCTTGATAGGGATGCTTTTTCCTGGGGTAAGATGTTTGAGACCTATCAGTTATGGAAATTAGTAAACATAACCAAGTTTCCTTTTGTTTTGAGGGCTTGCACATTGATGTGCCTTTTCCTTTTTAATTGTTGTGAAGACTTGGTTAAGCCATCAAAATAAGACGTAAATGAACTACTTATCATATGCACTATGAATTGATGTAAACTCTGTGGAACCAGGATATGGTTGTGTTTAAGCCACAAATATCCAGTCAGCAGCAACAAATGCAACAGCAGCATCAACAACAGATGCAACAACAACAACATCCACAACTACAGCAGCTTCAACATCAGCAGCAGCTTCCACAACTACAGCAGCAGCAACAGCTGTCACAGCTACAGCAGCAGCAGCAGCAGCTCTCACAGCTTCAACAGCAGCAGCCACAGCAGCTACCTCAATTGCAGCTCTCACAGCTTCAACAGCAGCAGCTTCCACAAATGCAGCAGCAGCAGCAGCAGCAAAAACAATTGCAGCAGCAGCAGCAGCAACAATTGCAGCAGCAGCAGCAATTGCAGCAGCAGCAGCTTCAGCAAATGCAGCAGCAGCAGCAGCAGCAAATGGTTGGAACAGGAATGGGTCAAACTTATGTTCAAGGTCCAGGTCGTTCACAATTAGTTTCTCAAGGACAAGTTTCTTCACAAGGGCCAGCAAGCATGTCTGGAGGAGGCTTTATGAGTCAATAATAAAAACTAGGATTCTGTGGGAGCAGAATGCACCTTTGTAATTGAGAACGATTCAAACACTCATATAGATGCTCTGCGCATTAATATATTATAATAGTTCCTTGATAATGTTCGTGGTCAGACTTGCTTAGCTTCTACTTAACGTAATGATGCAAGTTTTCACACTATATAAGAATGTAATCATTGCTATATAAGATTTTAACTCGGAGCTCGTATCTCCTGTTATGTTTATTCACCTTCCTTAATATTTCATATACGCCTCGTCGGATGATCACAAACACTTTCGAATTTAATTGTTAGTACTCTTTGGACCTCTCTCTCTACAAAAGCTTCGGACCCCAGCACTCGTATGTCTAAGAAATTTTACCTCTCAGCCCTTGGCGTGGTGCTTACTCAGGCTGGCTGTAAGTGGTTTTAGCTTCACAGATTATAGCCTTGGAGGAAGAATGCCAAAGCTCAAAATAGAGATTGCGTAAGTTTGTTGAACGGTATGCTAACAATTAAAACTTAAAAGAAAAAAAATACTTTAAACCGCAAATCTTGGAAGAAATGGAAAAGAACCCGGTAAAAAAAAAAAATCCCTTACTAAAATATGTTGTCTAATCATATATATGGAAATAAATATCAGAAGAATATTGTTTTTTAGATATTGACATACTGGTACCAGAACTTTCGGTCATCACGATGCCAAAACGACGTGTTTTCATGATATACTCCGCATGTAATTTTTCTTTTATTATTATTTTTTTCCTGATATGTTTTGTTTTGTCTGTCCAGGTCACAACCCAACTCAACCACCAGTTTGTTTCCATTTTTTTCAAAAACGAAAAAAATCTCTTACAATTACTATTTTTTAAAAAAAGAAAAGAAAAGGGGAAAAAAAAAGAAAACAGTGTCGATTTCTCAGTTCGGGAAGGGAGATAGAAGGGGGCGACAATGGAGACTGCAATTTGTGGGAGAATAGCTCTCTCACCTAATCACGTCTTTAACCCTAAACCCGGTGCTTATTGCTCTTTCTTCCCTTAATTATTATTATTATTATTTTACGCATTTATTTCTCTAAATTCTCTTGTCTGATTCAATTTTATAACGACCATCAGTTATTACTTTTGTCTACTTTTTTTAATTATATATTTATACACTAACAAGCATCCTGCTGTAGCTGCTAAGTTGCGGGTGGTTGTAGTTTGTTGCTTTGGATGCCTTTTTGTTTTTTAATCTCTTTCTTTTATGTTTTGCTTGATTAATCATGGAGGAGAGGATGCTCCGATTTTTTAGTTTTGGTGGCGATTAAGAAATGATGGTGTAAAAAGACCACATTTAAAATCCTGTTTTTTTGAATTCATGTTCTACCCGTGGAGACTGAGCGGAGTATGAGTTGAGTCATGGGTGTCATTAGCAAGTAAAATTGGTCACCGGTATTTATGGTTTTGTTAAAATCTTGACCAGGAGACAAGAACTCTGTTTGTAGAGGACCATGTGTCAACCGTGGGATTCTCATGGCTATATCAACAACATGCTCAGGCAAAGGAGGAGGGTTATTGGAGAAGCCGGTTATCGAGAGAACCACCCCCGGTCGCGAATCTGAGTTTGATTTAAGGTGCGTGCCGGCACCGCTTTTCTTCCTGTTTTGTATTTTATGAGATCTAAATCAAACAACTCTAGCTTCCTTTTATGAGCATATAGTAGTTCGGATTCAGATGGACGGAAGTTGGGAGGGAGAACTTTTTTCTTCGTCTTATCATCCCAAGTTTAATTATAAATCAGGGATATTTCTTTGTTGAGCATTTTTCGCTTGAATGAACACAGTGGTGTTGATTTAATTCTTTTTTGTACCATCTAACGTTCTACTGTCATTTACCTGGGTGATATCGTTGCTCTTTGAATTTTCTTCAGGAAATCAAAGAAAATGGCACCTCCTTATCGAGTGATGTTGCACAATGACAACTACAATAAACGTGAATATGTTGTACAAGTTCTGATGAAAGTTATCCCCGGGATGACCCTTGACAATGCTGTTAATATAATGCAAGAAGCACACTACAATGGCCTGTCGGTGGTGATTATTTGCGCTCAGGCTGATGCTGAAGAGCACTGCATGCAGCTGAGAGGTAATGGACTTCTGAGTTCAATCGAACCTGCAAGTGGTGGTTGCTGAGGACAGTCATTGATGAAATCACTATGCTTTCCTGTTAAAAGATGTATATAACCTAGCAGTGCCCATGTATTTATGTCTTGGTCATCGATGGTCGGATGCAAATGGCAGGATTTGCTAATTTTGAATAATAATAAAAAAAAGGACGACTCAGGATTTGCTAATTTTGAATAATAATAAAAAAAAGGACGACTCTGCAATTGTTACGTGGATTATAATCTGTGATTGTTACTCATCTTCGAAAACAGGATATTGTGCTTAAACGTAGATTTCCCCTGGCTTTTCACCGTTGATTTTCTCGAATCATGTTTAACTAGCAGTACTGTTTTATTTTCAAGATGTAATGACTCGTTCCATTCGACAACCTGATTGTTGCCAAACGAGCAGCCCCAATGAATTCACCTTTACTCCTTTTTGGATCCCTTTTTATTTTTTATTTATAGCCATCATGGCAATGAGGTGGCTGAACCTTTCGATCAAGGGACCTTGAAATCCCAGATCAATCTGATCAGGGAACACAGTGGATTTCTGGAAGAAAACCACAGCCCCAATCGCCATGGCATTATTTCACTACTAGTTACAGCACGAACTACAGGCTCTTTGCTGTGTTTATCATCATCCTTAGTTGTTTAAAAAATTTCCCAACATTATCTGCTTTCACAAATCAACAGGAAGCCTTCAAATTGCATGCATAAAATCAACCGCGTGTAGGGCAACTTCGGTGCCTCAGAATGATTCATTCAATTTAAGATATATCAAGATCCAACAGAATATCATTTAAATAGCATATAACACGCTCTTGGTTTTGATAATCAAACATGCTACTGCTCTTTGAATCAGGAAATTTATGAGTTGAGCAATTGCTCTTGTAAATAACCATATCTTGCTGTGTCCTTCGGAGAATGATCACCTTCTTAATGTATGAAAGTCGCTAATACACCTAACCACCATCCTGAATGCAAGCAGTCAAACAGAACCAGTGTTAAGAGTCTTGATAAGCACAATTTTAAATGCAAATCTCTTTCTCGCCTAACCAGTACCATGCATGTGTAGCCGCTTGCAGCCATTGTTCTCAAGAGTTCCATTTGTTAATTAATAAAAAAAATCCGACCAATTTGATGACAAAGCCATCTTTTTTATAAACCAGTTCTTACATGCTGTTCTGAAAGGCAAATTTTGCATCTATGTTTTGCTGACGTCTTCTTCATTATGGCGCGTGTGCATTAGTAAGCATGCGCAAGCAAGCAAGTGGCCTGCACACCTCTGTTAGCGGGTGATTCCTGGAGTGAAAGATGCGTAGCTATCTCACACCAGTGAAATTATAAACGGTCAACCAATTCTAAATAGTCTGCTGGACTACATTTTTCCAGCATTTCCTTCCGTTTTCCAATAATAAATTGACAGCACTCACCCACGCAACCCCCCCCCCCCCCCCCCAACCCAAAAAAAAAAAAAAATTATAATGAAAGTAAGTACTCACTACTTGTTAGATGATGGGTCTACTCAACCGTTGAAAGGAAGGATTGGATTCCAAAAACAATAAAAAGAACTCCACCTGACAATGCAACCTGAATGGCAGAAGGTACAGCATTGACATCAAAGATTGATTGGCTATCATAATGTAGAAACAACATTCCAAACATGCCATGAAGAGAAATGCAAGGAGCTATAATTACTATTTTCTCAGATATTTGAGATGCCAAGCTCTTTCCACCGATGACAGCGGCAGTAGTACACAGTGCTTGCCCTCTGAAGAAAAGGAAAAGCAATCAAACACAATAAACATGGCGATACATGTAAAAAAAAAAAACATAGCATGACTCAAATAAATGCATGGAGAAAACACTATAACTTACACAATTCCACCTATAACAACACCAAACGGGTTCTCATCAGCAGCCAAACCAATGGTAGCTATCTGAAATGGCAATCATACATAGTGCAAAATAAGGCCATCACCATGAGGATAAACTAATAGGCTGTGTGAGCCCTAGAGGTGACCCTTACCTGGCTCCTATCACCCCATTCACCAAAGAATGTAATGGAAAATGCCTGCAGAACACGCATGATAAAACTAGTCAGCCTCAAGGTCAAATCAGGGTTTTTTCCCTGGACCAACAGTATTAATGCAAAATTCCAAATCTAATACTTCAACATGTATGTATATATATATATATAGAAGCATTACTTTCAACAGTATAGGTGAGAAGAACTGTGAAAGAAATGTCCGCCTCTGCTTTTTCAATTCATCACTGTCCTGGAAGAATAAAACAGTTACACTATAAAAACCACCAAGCATAGCGTATTCAAGAAACACAGTTAAAGGTATTAAAAAATGAGACTAGATTGCTCATATGCACAACCAATTTAGCCATAATTGCATTTTTTTCTCGTGAAATACAGGAAAAGTCCAGTTAATGAATCCATCTATGACAAATCCAAGCATTTGAATGTTGATGCATGTGTGCATTAGACAAACTACCTTCTTGTAAAAATAACAGAGCGCACATAACCTGGTCCTGGCTAACCTATTCTTTGAAATTTGGATATAAGCAGCTCTATGGTCCTAGTTTAGAGATGCCACGCAATGGACAATTACTCACATTAATTAGAGAAAAAAAGCTATAAAACATCCACCACCTAAATATACATAAATCCAATCCGCTCTCATAAAATAAGATATCTAATGCAGGAAAAGGCTTATATTCTCTTACTGCCTGCACATTTTTCTGTATATTTTTTGAGGTAAAGAAGTTTAATGATTGTTTGACTAAATTCTTTTCAAAGTGAGGCAACCCAAACAAAAGAAGATTAAGCCCAACATAGGAGAAGAATGAGAAAGATTAATGCAGAAGAATAAATGCTTTCGTGATCTATTAAGCAGACAGAAAGTGCTACATTTCCAGAAAATACAGCGGTTATTATACCTTGCTACCAGCTTTGGCCATTCCTGTGTTAGCTTTCCAATCAGCATCCTGATGATAAAATAAAGGCAATGTGAACTATGTTTCCACTTGAATGTAAATGTTATTACAGGGAAGAAACAAACCAATTTTGCTTCAACTTCTGCCAATTCTTCAGCCTCCCTGTTTGACAAAATAGAAATAAACTCCAATGAGAACAAACTGTCATGCCAGGAGAAGAGTGCAAAGAAAAGCTAACAAAGACAGAAGATCAGGAACAATACCCCTTGTCATTAAATCCATCCCACAAGGACCAAAGCCCAAATCCAAAAAACAATATTGTTGTTATGTGATGAGTCCACGCACGAGAGATCTAGATAGGTAAACAATGAAGAAAACTTGATTGACAAAAGTAAAAGGTAGTAACAAAACAGTTTTGCTTAACAACTTTGATAGATACATGCACTTTAAGCAAATACTGCAAAATGGATAGTTGACTAGAGAAGAGAGATCGGTAGAGGGGGGTGTGTGAACAAGCTATTCTTGCTCACAGGTGCTTTATATGGACTTACTGAGTAACATAATGAAAGGTTGCCAAGGGGGCTGACTATACAAAACTACAGGTTACAACAGTGTGCTATATAAATAGGCTTTCCTTGCATACTATCAAGAAAATGTGTCCCAAGGAAGAGATTAAGAATGCAAAATCTATCAATTACTCAAATAAGTTCTATTGCATCTACTATAAATGTAATTACTCCACCATAACATCAAAAAAGGCAGCCTGGCAGAATCACAAAATTTACCGACACACAAAACTATATAGGCCTCCAATAGACCGCTTACCAGATTTGGAGCAGCCCAGCCAACAGCAGCAGAAAGGATAGTCATAACCTAGAAATCAGCAAATATTATCATTAACAATTTGGTGCTCGGAAAGGGAATTTTGTCAAATCTACAGTCATGCACCAAAAACACAAGAAAACACTTACTATCAAAGCCGCTAGGCAACCTGACAAAACAAGTCTTCTTGGGTGACGCATGGCCAAGATCTTGAAACAAGAAGCAGAAGTCAGGCAAGCACATGTAGAAAATAGGAGAATTCTGAATAAATAATTATAGGGGGGTTGTAGTAGAAATTCCAAGTTTTAATCAGAAGACCATGCAACAGGGTTTTCTGGAGAAAGCATACCGAACAGATGATGCCTGATTCTATAATTAAGTAATCTAAACAGCATAAAAGTAAAACAATCTCAAATAGAAACTATGAAATCCTTAAGGAAGTTAAGAAAAACTTAAAAAGCACCATTATTGGTCACTTCACTGATGAATGTCTCACAGAGAAAAATTACATGAGATTTTTAATTCTTTTCCCTCCGTCTCTTATCCCAATTTCCTTCCATGACTAAAAGTGAAGGCAACATGTACGATATTTGGCTGTAAATTGCAATCCTTTTTAACCCTCTCATATGCTCACTCGGTTCAATATATAAGCTTTGGAGAACTTTAATTACACATAGAAAGGCCATTAAATGGATTGATTTTCCGAACTCATAATGCCAGAAACTTAACAAAGATCCTCAGTTTTCAAAATCCTGCTTTTACATAAATACAGCAAGTCATTCTTGAAATGGTGTAACTAACTAGTGGATTTGATTTAACATTGATTTTTACTTTTGGTACCATTATGCATGCATTTTAATATTTGATCTCCCGAAAGAGCACAATCATGACTAGTTGCAAAAGCAAGCTTTTATCAACGATTTGTATGGACATTTGTTAGCTGATCACATAATCATTAATTATTTTACAAAATTCTTTACTACCATCATCATTTTTTGTCTTTTCCAGAATTCCATGACCATAACTGCAAAAAGACCATCCCAATGGCTGAATGCTACTAAAGGTTACCAAGTTTAACTCGGACAAGGAAGAAGCAGGTAAGAGGGTATGCGCAAGAGTTATGAAGAAAACAAAAGATGCAATATTGATCGGTTTTTCAACAGAAGAGTGTCACCGGAAGCGAACATAAATAAGTTGCCAATACTCCATCTTACAAATACAGTCTCGGCAAATTCAACATGGCCAAAAAAACCAGGCAGGTATTTTCTGGAGAAAACAATATCCACCAAGTCCCATAATGCAAGTAGAACAAAAAAGGAAGGGGAAAGATATGGTAATGATAATCTAAACAACAAAACAAGAATTAATTCCTGCCTAAGGGCCCTGTGTGCAACACGAACCATCAA